TACAGCCTTGGGGATTTGGAGCTGAAGCTAATCTAAAAATTATGTAGTTTTGCTTTGGCCAAAGTTCTTTATTTATACCTAAGTATTCACATTGCTTTACGATTATGTTAAAACGAGCTGGGACAGAATGAGTTTGCCATGACAAAAAGGCAGCTTAACATCACGAAGAGATGTACAATCAGGATAAACACACCTTTTTCCCCCTTCCTTTTCGTTTCTCAGCTATACAGTGTAAACTAAGCCATTTTTAGCAGTTGGTAAGGTGAGTTAAATCTCAGAGGTTAACTCTCGCTATGCTTCTGCTTCAGAAGGAGAACGTTTTCTTTTGAAAACTCCAGCCTTTCTACAGACGCCACTAATTTCCAATCTGGGCCATCAAACAGGAGGAGAGGAGTGGGAATGGTTAGGCTGGACTCTTAGCTGACCCCAAGCTGAGTGTGAATCAGCAGTGAGTTGTGATGCCACAAAGGTGAATGCGTTTGTAGGCTGCATCCACAGAAATACTGATTTCAAATCACAAAAAGAAATCCATGCCGGTGAGATCCTACCTCCAGTTCTGAATCAGAGCAACCCGGGCAATCAGGAGGCCAGGAGCTAAATCCTTGAAAGAGGGACTGAAGGAATTCAGACCGTTTAACCTTAGAAGAGACCGAGAAGGCATATAATAGCATTTTTCAAGTATCTGAAAGGATGCTACACAAGACCCGATGTCTCTTGGTCCAGAGGATGCTTTAAAAAAAGCTTTCCTAACGGCTCCAATTGCAGCAGTTCAAAAGTGGACTAGTGGCCTGAGAGATGGTGAGTTCCCTTCCTTGGCTGTGGGTAAGCAGAAGCTAGACAATGATTTTGGGGGGATGTTTCAGTTGGGAATCGTGCACAGAGAAGACTCAAGGGCTGCCACGACCCCTTCCTGCTCTAGGTTTCCGATTCTGTGACTCTGCAAAATTCAGGCAAACCACATCAGGAACTTCTCTGGACCTCAGAGTTAGGACGCTACTGAGAAAGAGCACATGTCTTATGGCCAGAACCTTTTCAAACTGGCACTCCTGTGTTCCAGGGAACTTGGGGAATGGCAGTTCTACAGGACAAGGGCAAGGTTATTATTTTAAGTTGGCATCCTTGCTTTTGGGGAGGGGGATCTGTGGCTGTGTAATTTATTTCCTTTTTATTTTGGCACAAGCCGCTCCAGGGTAGTCTGAGATTAAGGGAGGGTGCAATGCATCTCCATCAAGGGACCTTCGCAGCAAGGATTTAATCCCCATCTCCGTAACAGGACCATTATTTTCTATAGTCTCACTACGATGCACATCCAGGATTCTTAGAAAAGGGACGAAGGAAAGAAATCCCACCATAGGTAGTACAGTAAAACCTGTTTTATGGACCAATTGGAGAAAGGCATTCCTATCATGTGCAAAATTTATCCAGATGATGTACGTGACATCCTTTCCCTGGCTGCTTTGCAAATCACTGAGGTTTCCCATTACTTGGGGATCGGGTGGGGGGTAAAGTTCAAAGTAAAACCGTATCTGTTACATCCAAATTCTGCTGAATGGAGAGCCATCAGATCCATGTTTTCTACAGCTGGAAACCCAGATAGACCTAAACGAAGTCTAGGCAACTCTTCAGCCTTTGTGACTTGAAGTTGCAAGGCCTATGATGTCATGACATCACTGAAAGGGCTGAAAATTTAATTTTTTGGTTGTTTTGGGGGGATTCAAGGAGCAAAAGGGGCCCCTGACATTTTCAAAGACGTTAGGCACCTGTTTCCTCCCTTCAACATCCCCATGGAAAAAATCAGCCCAATTTCGAGATAGTTTTGCGGGTATGTCTTGCAAGGTTTAAGGCATCTGTTCTCCCCCTTAGAACCCTGCCAAACCTTTACAAGGTCCCTGGATTTTAGACTTGCCCCAGTTTGCGGGTTCTCAGGGTGACTATCTGGGAAGTGAGGCCTTTTGTGACTGTTTGCCTGAAAAGTCAGCGAAGGCTTTTAAAATGCCAAAGAAGCCCACCATTTCCAAAAGTCTGGGACCCTCTGCTTTTTACCACTCTATGTAGGCTTGAAATAAATCCACTTTTCTTCAATCATGACTAGTTCTGGTGTCACCTTGTCACCTGTCTTCTCGTGATGCCACAAAGGTTTGAACGGCCATCTTGGAACAAGAGATATAATTCCAGATACATTTTATTTCTTCCTCCTCTTTTAATGGACACGCACACCATAAAATAAACAAAATAGCTGATAATGAGGAGAGGGGCAGTGACGGGAATGCCAACAGATCCCCTCGGGCTGGAAAATCAAGTCTTTTTTGATCCACTTCTTTTTTTAAGGAAGGCTTAATACTGTGGCTGGTTGTTTCTTTAGACATTGCTTCTTCCCTCCTGCCAGTCACGTCTTTTTGTTTCTCTCTTCACCCAGATTTTAAAAACTTTTTCTTTTCATTACCATATATAAAAATAGCTATAGGAATTCAATATTTAAAAAAAAAAGAAAGAAAATGACCATGAAGTTGCTATTCTGGAGGCGAAGAATGCAGTCCGTACAGTGTCAGGGTTCAGGAGAGAAAAAGGGAGTTTAATTAAGAGTCTCATTTCAATTTTCATTGAAATGCTGTTAAGTGCTTTTTCCTATGTCAACGAATTGGGGTAGGTAGGTAGGTAGGTAGGTAGGTAGGTTTTGAAAGTCTCCCACCAACAATCCTATGGGAGAGGTTCTTCTTCTTTTTAATAGCATTGCCTACTTTGACTGCTTCAACTGAGGTAGGTCAGCACTCTATAAAGAAAATATGCTACATTCTAAGATAGCATTCCCCAAATTGGCCTTCTCAAAATGGGCTGGGACTTCGATTCCCAGAATTCCCAATCCTCATAGCTAGGAATTCTGGGAACTGAAGTCTTGACACATCTGAAAGTCACCAGGTTGGGAAAGGCTGTGCTAAGGCTTCAAATATGTGGTCTATTACCAGCTGTGCTGCCACCAGTGACCTAGAGAGCAACTAACAGAGGGAACGTGTCAACAGGTAGAAACCAACTGTGGAGCATCATACCAGCGGCTTCCAGTGCTCTGAGGATCAGCAGGAGGCATCTTTTTTTTTCCTAAACAGGCCTGACTTGTGTCTGGTTTGCATACATGCATGCTACGGAGACAGAGTGTGGAAAATGGCACAAGGTTAGTAGGACCTTTGCACCCAAACATGATATGCAAATTTCACAGCTTTCTATATTTTGTGTGGGAAATGTGAATGGCAGCATTGAATGTATGCCTGATGTTCCAAGGTTTTTCCCTTTCATTTCTAATGAAAAGGATTTCAGGCTGGAAACTGAAGGAAGCTCTGGAGAGATTTCCTGCCACATAACACAAGCCAAACCATGGTCTGATAAATGGAGAGGCCACCACTAACCTTCAACACACAGACCTGGAAGGAAGATTTTTCTGACAGGAGAGCATTTGCTTCACAATGAGCCACAGCTTGACAATGGTTTCTTGAATAAACTACTACTGGAGAGGTTCACACAATATGGCAAAGCCATACACGATGGTTTGCCAACCGTGATAGCTGCACGCTGAGCCAAAGCCAAGCCAAATATTTTGGTTGAACTCAGTCTAACCGTTGAAGAGGATCATAGCTCCCCTCGTTGCAGAAAATCCATGAGCTTCTGTGTGCAAAGCAAGAGTGAAAATTCTCTTGGCGCAGCCCCTCCATTATAAAAACCATTTCTTGTTTCTCGGGAACCTGCATGTTGCAAACCAGCTTTGAACAATAAATTGTATATTGAACAGTTCTTCAGTAGTAACCCGTTACAGGTGTAAGTTATCTTTAGGTGATCGGTGGCCTGCCTTTTGCTACAATCCTAACAATCATTAAAGTTTCTTTTTTGGGGGGGAAAAAAAAGACATGATATAAAACAACTCTTGACACAGTAAAACTTCACACAAGTTAACTAGCAACTTGCCTAAAAGTAAAGCTTATCACACTAAGGGGGACCGTCCTCAGTGATCACATCAGACGTGAGTTCATGATGCTTTCCTGTCTCTTGGAATACTGGAAGTGAGCAGAAAGAGGAAGGGAGAGATGAGGAGGTCAGCTGGAACAACACCCAGCTCTTCTATTTAAAAAGTCTTGAGGTAGAACATTGCTTTCAAGGTTTTGGAAGTGCTTTACATTAGAACAAGGATGACAATAAAGGGTTACTTTAAAGGGGGGAAATATTAACCAATGACCAACATGGTGGACATGGAGTGTGACTTCTGAGGTAGTACCAAAACACGTACTGACCAAGTGCTACACTACTTGCGTTGAAGACAAAAGGAAGACACAAGATATATTTGCCTCTTCCCAAAAGACATTCAATTCCGGTTGAGGTAGGTTCTGAATTTACTTCGGGTGTTCATCCAAGTCTTTTCTTTCTTTCAATAGCCATCTTCCAGGCCTGTTACCTTTTTAATTTTTTGCCACGCTCACTTTGCCTTTGAAGCAGTTCATCAGCGAATAAACATCCTGAGAATTATGAATGGACACAACAAAAAACCTCCGTGGTTCCATGGAGAGGCTTGGCCCATCAGAAGTCGCCATGTTGTGGATCCAAGTTGGGAGGTCCTTCATCGTGGGTTGCTTCAACAAGAGCACCAAAGTGGATCCAGAAATAATTATTCTAAAGCTGCCAATAAAGGGACACATTGGTTAACCTTACTGACCCCTGGGGTGTCAAGGGTAACAGAGTGGTGTTCAAGGTTGTCTTGAGAGAAGTCACCAGCCTGGCAGCTGTAGAATGAAGATGGAGATCCAGGTGGGAAGGAATGCGCTACAAGCCTGAGGCAAGTCAGAAAGATCAACTTCATAACAGATTCCACAAAGCTGCATACAGATTATATCCAGACTGCAGAAATCAGAACTTTTAAATTGACCTGAGATTTAGGTGTCATCTTAGAGACATCGTCAGGCACGAAAAATAGTGGCTGGCGTGTCTTGTAAGAAGTCTGAGCTATCTTGGCAATTTATCCTTCATTGGTCGGAGCTTGGTTCAAAGCTGGTTCTTCTTGGCGGATGGTAAACAGAGGCTGGCTGCGCGGGCCAGAGGATACGTTTGGAAACAAGGTGTTGTTCTGCTCCTCAAGGATGCTAAATTCCTCTGGCGGAAGTGTAGATATCTGGATTTCATTAGGTGAAGTATTTGGAATGTGATCCAGCTGAGAAAGCAAGGGAAAAATTGCTATTGGAACCCACGAAGCACTGATACCTGCTCAATGATATTTGTTACAAAATATAATTACATCAAAGCACAAGCAGCATGATGAATTTGTTCAAACGACACCAATTACACCCTGTGGCGTTATCTTCCATTGATTGCATCATACCACTCGGGTTGTCACTTCCCACCCATGTGGGCGGCTACAGATTTGCCACCTTACCAAAGCAAATGCTGTCTGTCCTTGAAGCAACCCCAGCCCCAACCCTGGCAGCTGTGGCCAGGAAGGCCCTGGCAAAGCTTCATCTGGTATGCCAGTTGTGCCCTTTCCTAGATCAGGGGGCCCTTCAGAGTCATTCATGCCCTAGTCATCTAACAGCTTGATGACTGCAATGCATTCCACATGCCCTTGAAGACCACCCGAAAGCTTCAACTGGGCCAGAATGCAGTGGTGTGCGCAGTGATTGGCTTGCCTCGGTATGCCCATGTAACATCTCTGCGTCCCAAGCTTCACTGGATGTAAGTTTGCTTCTAGATGTGATTCAAGGTGCTGGTCATTACCTATAAAGCCCTACATGGCATAGGGCGTGGTTATTGAGGGACCCCCTGTCTCCCCTAACATCTGCTTGACTGATTTGACCTGGCAGGGTTGATGCGCTCTGGGTTCCTTCAATTAAACAATATCATCTATCAGGACCCCAGATGGGCACCTTCTCTATAGCAGTGCCTGCCCTCTGAAATGAGGTTCCCCTGAGATTCAGACAGCCCCCATCCTACTGGTATTTCAAAGGGCCTCAAAGACGTGGCTTTTCACCCAGGCCCTTTGCTTCATTCCTGTCTGGTTTGTTATTTTTGCCATCTTTTATTTATCGCTTGTTATTAGTTGTATTTCTTATTTCAGTGGTTGTGAGCAGCTCAGAGTTGTTGGGAGTCGGGCAGCATGCACATTCGATTGATCGATCGATCGATCGATGAGAAAAAGATAAACCTTCACCCCAACGAAATGCCACGGTTCATGCTCCCTCTGTTTCCGCCTCTCCCACAAAGACTTGGACTAAAGTCTACCCTTCAACAGGAACAAATACATCTGCGCATTTCTCCTGCCTGTTTTCCACGCCAACCTCTTTCCTGCTTATATTTCTGCACTTAGAGCATTCTTTGGTCTTCTTAAGAATTTCTCCCTTCGGCTTGCTTGCTCCGAAAGGCACTCAAGTGTGTTACTATCACTTAATTCACATGTCCTAACAGCCCATACTTGACTCATTCAGAGATTAGGGGATAGGGGAAACCAGGACCAAGCAAACTATGGCTACACTGAATGAACTGCTTATTGCATTAGCCACATCTATGGTGCTTGAGGGCAGGGGTTTTCAAACTTTTTCAGGCTGTGGAACATATTTGTTA